GTTTGGAAAGTTACAAATTATACATGCTCATTTTGAATTCTTTTTTAAAAAAAGGGATTTTGAAAGTTAGACACTAGTGAAAACCAGAAGGAACTAAGATTACAATTAAAGGAGAATACAATTTGATTTACTAATATAGAATGGAGCAAAATACTTTTAACATCAGAGATACTAAGGATTTTTTTTTACTTTTAAAAAAATCTCTGCCATTATAGATTGTGTTTAAAAGACGTAATGGAAGAGGAACAGGTTTTACCAGACAAGACTGAGTCTGATTTGAATGTGGATTTAAAAATGACATCTACAAGAATGATACAGAAAAAGATACTATACTGGATATACAAGTGAAATTGGCTGATGTCTTAATAATTAAAAAGAATATAAAAATAACAAACCAAAACAGTAATGGCTTACTTTCCTATATTTGATTTACGAAAGAATTTTAAAGTTTTGAAGGTTTTTATGAGAAGGGACAAAAAAAATAGAAATCAAATTCTAGGACAGTATTTGAAGGGATCAAGATTAAAAATAAAGGAAAGGAATATAAGTTTATTCTATCAAGGTTAAAATAAATATATCTACTCTGGTAACTCTTAATGGATTTTCACTGATTAGGACTGAGTGAGGTTTTAAAGATTTGCTTATAGATAAAAAATGAGATATAGAAAGCAGAGATCATTTATTGTATTTTAAGAGAAAGTGATAAGTTACTAAAATATTATGAAGGGGGAAATCATTTATATATTTTTTCTTTACTATATTCTCATTTTTCTTTCATTTTTATTTTTCTTTCTGCATATTTTTTCTTTCTTTTCCACATTTATTCTGTCATTCCTTTTTACTTTGTATTAGTTATCTTTTAAATCAAATGTTCAATAAAATTATAAAAAAACAAAATGGTACAATATTTACTTCAAAATATAAATTCCTCCAATAACTTTTCAAAATTATTCTCCTCACATACCTGGAACTGAGGATTAGTTGGTTATTTTCCTTCTGTGTGTTCAATATGTGACTGAAGGGGAAATATGTCAATATCCTGAATTTTTAGTGCAAATCTTTTTCAATCAAATGATGATAGGTAGATGAAAGAACCAAAGTGTAAAGGAAACTAATATGTTTACTAAAATGTTATGTACTTAACAACACAAGTCACAGGAACCAGAAAAAGGAAAATAAATTCTATTCTCAAAGTATATAAGACTCACTCCTTTTGAGAGGCTGAAATATGAAAAAATGCTTACTGTGCCTAATAATTGTTAAACAGAAAGCTCCTTATTTCAGTCTTGTTAGAAATGATGTCTTCACACTCAAAAAAAGTACATTTATATACTTTTTCAACTATTGTTTTAAAATGTGTATAGGAGAATCGCAACTTTTTAAAACAATTTTATTTAAACTAATGTGATCTCATTTCATCCCTGAAGGAAATCAGATCATTGTTTACAAATCTCATAAGATTGTAAACAATGTAAAGAAACAATGCAATTGTCCATGTATCATTGGATTTTAGTTTGGGAAGTTTGGGGCTTCCGCAACAAAATTGGAATATTCCTTTTTTCCTAACTGAAGATCCTGATCTTTAAATGGCCATAACTGTAAAATAACGCTGAAAGGGAAAAGATACTTTGGATTAGAAAATACTATCAATTAAAATCCAACTCTTTATGATACATGAGCTAGAATATTTTTTATCCTTAAGTCTAGTATATCAGTAATGTACTAGCCTTTCTACTGTCTCAAAAACAATCTCAGAATTTTCAGGATATGCATTTTAAAATAATAATAGAAGTTTACTAATTTTTCTATCAGACATGTTACATTTACAATTAACATGCTGAATAGCTGTATAATAATATGCTGTATGGCCATGGAGTGTAATCTTTTTTTATCAGCAGAAATTAAATTTGATATACTTTTTCTTGGTTTTTTGGGATCAAATAACAGAAGGTAACTAGAGTACTAGAATTCAAAAACTCTGCAAGGCAAGCATTACTCTGAATACCAAAATTAAATGACATTCAGACATTCTATTCTTTTATCCCAACCTTTATTTCTGTAATCAGTTGGATATTTTATGGTGATGAAGGGGAGGCCATCTTGTTTCAATTATACTAGAAGGAGTCACAAATCCTCATTAAAATGAGATCAGTCAGTAGATTATCAAAACATGAATAAGAATTTAACACCAATCAATTCATAATACAATATTTTAATTCAGTCTCCCCTAGCCTGGTTCCCTCCCTATGTGTTGGAATAACAATCTCAAAAAAACCTCAAAAATTATATATTTGATCAGTATATTTGAGAAATACCAGGTTGGTTTAAGCAATACTTTTCCTAATTCAAGTAAGGAAATTGAGCAAACCTACTGAAACTATTACTAGATTTCGGGATTTATTGCAGGGCAAGAAGTACTGGGTCTTATCAGGAAGATGGAAATCAAGAGGTTTTGGTTTGCCAGTTGAGTTTTATACTATCAAGCATCGGTGTTAATATGGATAAAAGAATGGATAACCCTCAGACAAAAAAGATTGTTGCATCTAGAGGGACATGACTTACAACTTGGTTGGCATGCTTTTTTATGATATGGGAAAAAGAAAAATTCATAAATATTTTCAAAACCACTATATTAGAAATGCATTACTGCTAACATGGGAAAAAATAAAATGCAAAATATATTTGAAAATTCCAGGATGGCTTTCAACAATGGAAACATTTGTACACTCAAATCTAATTAGCCTTGAGAAAATATGGACATATAAAGATATTCTAAATTCTGAAGGGAAATTAAAATCTAGACAAGAGATGGAAAATCAGGGTATTGATTTATCATGGTGGTCACATTTACAGATGCAAGTGAAATATGATAAAGATGTTAAATTGTATGGATTTTATAAAGAGCAGACTCTGTTTGATCAGATATTATTAACCTCTGATGAAAAACTAATTAAGAAAATATATAATTTTCTATTAAATTTGAAAATGGAAGATGAACAAGTAAAAGAAATAATGATAACATGGGCAAAGAATTTTGGATATAATATAGATTTAGAGAAATGGCAAAGCCTATGGGAAAGAAATTATAAGTTGACAATGTCAACCTCTTATAAGAAAACTTATACAAAATGTTTTATAGATGCCACTTGTCATCAGCAAGATTAGTAAAAATGCTTAAAAATATGTCGGATAAATGTTGGAAATGTAATCATAAACCAGGTACTTATTATCATGTGTGGTGGACAGGTGTTAAAGCAAAGAAATGTTGGACAAAAATGCATACTTGGCTAGAAAAGATGCTGGGGAAACATGTAGATTTTAAACCTGAACTTTTTTTATTAGGTATAATGCCAGAAAAGCTTGATAAATGAAGTATATATTTGATTTTGCATGTGATAACAGCAACAAGACTTATATTTGCACAATATTGGAAAAATGAAGAAATACCATCAGAGGAAGAAATAATTAAAAAAATACTGGACTCAGAAATGGACAGACTTTGAGATCAAAAGAAAAAGAAGAAACAGAATATTTTCAAACTTGAGACTTATTTTATCAATGGTTGAAAAAACGAACTAGGGATTAAGAATTTAATTTGTATTAGTGAATGATAAAGGTTTTAGGGTTTGAGACTATACCAAGTAGGCAGTGCTAAATAATATCATAAGGCAACAAAGATGTACAAGTTTTAAGGGCATTTATTTTAAGTAAATAAGGTTCAAAACTGTATATGGTGCTGATAGTGGTCTACAACTGCACCTGCAATTGTAAGCCACTATTGCTAGTAGATTGAAGTTAAATGTTTTACTGTGAAATAGTTTACTAAGAAATGATTTCCCAAGCACAAAAACATGTTTATAAGCTTATAAAACTACAGAACCAGTTTGGTTTAATGATTAAGGCACCAGGCTAGGAAACAGGAGGCTATGAGTTCAAGTCCTGCCTTAGCCATGAAAGCCAACTGGTGACTTTGAGTCACTCCCTCTTTCAACCCAACCTCATAGGATTATTGTTGTTATTGTGGGGGAAATGGAGAAGGAAGGTGTGTTGTATATGTTTTTGCCACCTTGAGAACACAAATAATTTACCTAGAAGAGGAACGGTTCAAGCTTCTACTTTTAAACCTGATTTGGAAGAATTGTATTCTAAGTCCCATTTTTAACTTACTGTTTGTCAAACAAATCACAATGCTCTAGCCTAGTTCAAGTATGCTAAGTTGTGAGTGGTGGTTCCCCACAACATGCTAAGTCGATAAATACTATTTATATCATGGCTTAATGTTGTGCATGACTCAAATTTAGCGAGGAAAAATATTAATTTTTGATATCCCCAAACATTATCATGCTGTACTTTTTAATAAAACCATAGCACCTGGTAGTTTAAGGAGGAGAGTGCAAATTTGGATTTACTATAAGAGTGCAGAGGATAATTCATACTGATATAAAGATAAGAGTGTTTGATTTAGGACAGGGGGGAAAAAACAGCATAAAAAATATGTCATTAATGAAATCTGGTATTACTTATCTGGAAGAAAAGTAAGGACACATTAAGAAAAAATTAAGACTTTATAAGGAGGGGGCTCTTCTCCATGAATAGTGATTGCAAATCTGTTAACAGATTAGTTAAAACAGAATAAATTGTTGTGCGTGGAGGTGAAGAATTTAAGAAGCAGCAGGAAGAACGAAGAAATGCAAGCAATAACAATCACCAGAGTTGAGGAAGTCCTATTTCCATATTCGGACTCTGGTGGGACATGAGAAGCAGGAAGGAGGAGGCGCCTGGATTGTCAACCAGCCCCTTCCCCCCCCCCACAAACCTGCTCCTATCAGAGAAGCCCCTGTTGCTACTAAAAGCGTAGGACAAATAAACCCGGGAAAAGTCGCGGGGAAAACGGCATGGAACGGAAGGCGCTCCTCATGCCCACCCCCCGAGAAAACTACCATCCTCACAGCCACGAATTCGCAGGTGTTAAGCGCCCCACACGGCCCGTTCACACTCACTCTCGCCAACGACCGCCTTCAGCCCGGTCGGCGCCATGTCCCACCCAGTCCCTCTTTGGGTGCTGGTGCCGGTGCTGCTGCTGCGCCGGAAGCTTCCACTTCCGCGTCTTCAGGCGGGAGGAGCTGACCTCGAACCTCGCCACCTCTCAGTCCGTCCGCGGGGACACACCCCTCACGTGCAGCAAGGCCCTCCTGGGCTCTCGTGTTGGCGCTGCAGCCGGATGTCGGAGCCCGCGTAGGCTCGGAGTGGGCTGCTTGCTACGGGTTGTACCTGTAATTGAGTGTGAACTCGGTGTGGTGCGGAGATCTTCGGGCTGCAGCTAATTGCCAAAAGAAGCAGCCTTTACACAAGCAGCGCGCGCTTATGAAAGGGGCAGAGGGGGTAAACACAAGGCAACGGCAGGTGACGACTTAAAAAAACCAACACCCAGTATTGAGCAGGAGCTCCGTTCGCTGCTTTCTTCGGTATGTTTGTTCCATAGCACTTTGGAACGAACTTTCTTCCGTCTCGCTTTAATTTTAATGGTCCTGTTTAGCTTTGTTTTGTTTTTGTTTGATTTTTTTCTTTTGTATTTTAATCTTTTTGAATAAAATAAAAATTGGGGGGAAAAAGAACTTTCCTCTTTCTCCCTTTAACTGAATCGAATTCGGATTATGGAAACCGTGCAAAGAGAAGTAAAGTTTTGAAGGAAAAAAATAGTTTGATAGGAAGATGAGAGTTGTAAAATAAAGAAGGGGTGGGTTAGATGGAAAGAGACAGTCTAGGGCAGGAGTAGGCAACCTTGGTTTTTTTTATGCTGGCTCAGGAATTCTGGGAGTTGAAGTCCACGAGTCATAAAAGAGCAAGGTTGACTACCACTGGTCTAGGGTCATAGAATCTTGCTTTTGTCGAGTTTATGGAGCTGAACTTTCTGTTGTGACTTTTGCCCATTCCTGCACCATTTTGTCCCTTGCTGGGGTGCCTTGGATGCTGCTAGTCACAGCCAGTTGCTGTCTGATTGATCCACTATTTTTGCTACATTGCACAAACGACTAATAGGTACCCATGTGGTGGGAATCGAGTAGTTTAGACAGGTTGAAGGCAAGAGAGATCACCTAATAATGGGCCAAGTCAATTTTCTCCGATACCTGTCAGTCATGCATACCAGGAATGCTATTGATGTAATAGTGAGGAAGAGCCCACTGTTTGGATAAGGCTGGTGATGATAACAATTACAGGACACTTAAATATTATTCTGAGTGTTTAAGAACTGAAAATGATAGCTATATGTAGATACCCATAGCTTAAAAAGAGGGAAAGGGGAATTAGAGAAAAAATATTTTCTCTCTTCAAGATCTTGGTTGCCAGTTGGCATACTTCACAGAAAACAAGAATGTGTAGTACAACAATCGCATAGGTTTATTCTATCAAATCTGGAATAAAGTTTGTTTGTTTATTTATTTAATATTTAACATTTCTGAACCAGCCATCTGGTTATACAGCACACAGTTCAGACTCTGTGTGCTGTATAATAAAACATCAAAATATAAAAACTGTATATAAAAATTAAAATGTTAGAGTTAAAATTTATAGTTAATTTTAAAAAAAATATTTAAAAAAATTAAGGAGGCAAGAATAATTAAACCTTATTAAAAATTATTTCACAAAAGCAAAGGGCACCAACCAACTCCACTACTGTGTGCTCCTTTGGGGTCCCCCTGCAAGGTTGCAGAGCCATGTTTTAAGTTCTTTTTTGAAGGACAGGAGGGTGGGGAACCTGCCTCACATCTGGAAGGAGAATATTCCATAGAGTGGGGGCAGTGACAAAGAAGGCTCTCTCCTTGGACCCAACCAAACAGAATGCTTTAACTGATGGAATCTGCAACATACCTTTCCTGCCTGACCAGGTGGGACAGGGCAATGTGATAGGGCCAAGCTGATTTCACAGGTGGCCTGACTCCATGCCATGTAGGCCACAGGTCGGCAACCTGCAGCTCCGGAGCCGCATGCGGCTCTTTGAGCCTTCCCCTGTGGCTCCCAGCCTCCTCTGCCATTTGCAGAAAGAGACAGAGGCAGAGAGAGGCAATTACGCTTCCCTGCCCCCCCCTCTCTCTGTGTGTTTGTGTTTTTGTGTGTGTGTATGTATAAAAGAGAGTGCACTCACAGTGTTCTCTGAAGAGCTGAAAAGCTTACTGGGCGGAGCTCCTCCCTTTGCTGCGTCTCTGCAGGAAGCAGGAAGGGCAGGAGAGAGCTAGCTAGCCCAGCTAGGCTGACTCAGGAATTCTGGGAGTTGAAGTCCATGAGTCATAAAAGAGACGAGGTTGCCTACTCCTACGCTTGTTGGATAACAGCTTGAAGCTTGCCAGGTGAGCAGCAGATAGAAGAGGGGGGGGAGAGAAAGAGAGAGAGAGAGATGGAGGGAGAGAGAGAGAGAGAGGAAAGAGAGAGAGAGAAAGGAAGAGAGTGGGGGAAGAGGAGTGGCAGACCAAGGGCAGATAGAGAGGGAGGGGGAGAGAGAGAGAGACCCTTTTGACATCTAAAATGAACATAACACTGCATATATCCTTCTTTTACCTGTGTGTGTGTGTGTGTGTGTGTGTGTGTGTGTGTATATATATATACACACATACACACACACATATATATATATATATACACACACACACACATATATATATATACACACACACATACATACACACACACAAACACACACACACCTATAATAAAGGTAACAAAAGGATATATGCAGTATATATCTTCATTATCTTCATTTTAGATATCAAAAGGGTTTTGCGGCTCCCGGTGTTTTGTTTTTGGTGGGAAACAGGTCCAAGTGGCTCTTTGAGTGTTTTGGGTTGCATACCCCTGATGTAGGCTTTTATAGATTGTCACAACCAGCACCTTGAATTGGACATCAAAGCAAATTGGCATCATAACTGGTACACAACATAGAGTTGATCAGAAGCCCTCCTAGCCATGGCTCTTTCATGTGTTTGTCAGTTACCACACAAATAATTTGGGGTACACATAATATTCAATATAAATTATAGCTATTCTTGAGCAGTTCGTGATCATGGAAGTCCACATTCTGACTCTTGGTACTTCTTCCCATCAGTCATATTTTCATTTTCCCCTGGTCTTTGCACACCATTACTTTAGTTTACCGTAACTTGCTGTTGTGTTTCATCCACCTGGACATCCTTCCATATTACTAGATCAGAGGGGGAGAAAGTGGTATGTGTAAGAACATATTCCAGCTGTCCCTGTCCTCATTCTGGGATGGGCTTTTGCAGCAGGGGGAAAATAATTTTGGCTCCTGTGTTGTCATTAGTATGTGTGTTGTTTGCTTCTAATTGGCATTCCTTTTTATTGTTGGGAGTGCTCTGAAAGTTCTGCCCAGCAGTATCTGTAAGGTATCTGGGAGAATTTCAGTCTAGATTTCAGTGTTATCAAGACTTTGTATTCAAAAGTATTCAGTTCTGGCCACATTAGTTCTATCTCTGAGCAAAGCCCACTCTTACCTCTCCCTCTTCCCAGCCCTGGCAACAGCCTAAAATCAAAGGAACAGAAATTCACCAAGAGCAATCTCTGCTTCTGTATCTAGAAAGCACCTCAAGCAAGCAGCACTGTTTGCTTGAAGTGCTTTCTAGATACAGAATGAAACTATAAAGACCTGAAAATGTTCGTGACTATGCAAAATGATAGGAGATGCCCGAGCTTTCAACCATCAGACGAACCACCAAGATGCTTCTTGTGTGAGGAAGAGGGGATATCTGGGACAAGGTGCTGACATTGCTTTAGATGTGGATGGGAGGGGCACTTTAAGAAGGGATGCAGAGTACCCTGGAGCCTCCAACCCCTCCCAAAAACCCCATTCCCTAAGGGATTTTCTGCCCCTTACCGAGATCATGAGACTCAACATGTACAGTTCCAGGATAACCCCGACACACTATGACTAAACACTGAAGTAACCAAATGTCATGCCATCTTCACCGGCCTTACTATACCCTTAAGAAGCGGTCCTGAAGGTGAGCTCCTCCTGACCCTTACAATAGGAGGAAGGGATTACAAGTCTCAAGTCGACACTGGAGCAACATTATCCTTGATTACAGAGCCACTGTTTAAAGGATCAATGGTACCAGGGGCAAGGGACAATATTATCAGAGTGTGGTGGTGGTGGTGGTGGTGGATGTAATGTATTGGCCACAACTGTTTTAAATCACTTGCTTAATGTCTGACCTACATTGCTGTATTGTTTAACAGTTGCTGTTACTGAAAGCCAGACTGGCTGTCTCCTGATAATGAGGTTTGGGGTGGGAAACTGTTACTTTAAACCTATTGGTTGTCACCTAGAGGCTAACTGTATAAATAACTGTGCAGCAGCCTTTAGTGCTGCTTCTGTTCTGATTAATAAACTTGTTTGCTGTTTCAACACTCTGCCTCATTCAATGCCTAAAGAACCGAAGATATAACAGTGGGGGAAATAATACCTGTAGAATTCACCAATGATATGCAGGTGGAAATCAGTCCCTTTTCTCTGGATCATTCCTTCACAGTTTGTCTTCAATCTCCCATCATGCTGTTAGGCATATATCTTTTATGTAAATTGAGAGCTACCATAAAATGCTCCCCAGATAGGCTCACCTTAGAGATTCCAACCAAACAAATTCACTGCCTTGTTACCCAAGCCCCAATTAAGGAAAACCTATTGCACCCAGATATGCAAGACCTACCCCCTTCCCTCTGGAGATGGGACTCCACTGAGGTGGGCCTCCTAAAGAGTGCCACCCCAGTTAAGATACTGGTAAAAGCAGGGCCACCCCCATGCATATCCCAATATAAGATCCAGCTGGAAGCAGTTGAACCAATTAGGAAACTAATCAGGGCATACATAGCGCAAGGGATCCTCCGGAAGTGTACATCCCCATGTAACATTCCAATTTTCCCAGTAAGGAAACCCTGGCCCGATACAGAGGGGAACCCCATTTATCACTTCATGCATCATTTGTGCTTCATTAGTGCTTACGTAATACCAAGGGCTCCAATGATAGCCAACCCAGCCGCAATCATTAGTGATAAATATACATCAATATGATAAATCTTCAGTCAGTTAAAAATACAGATGGTGAGAGTCAGGAAGAGATTAAGGAAGTAAGATAAGGCAAAAATA